TCCTGAGTAGCTGAGATTATCAGTGTGTGCCACCAAACTTGGCATTCATTACTGATACTCTACCCTCTCCATCATGCAGTTCTTGGTGTCCTGAGATGGTGCCCTGCAGGCTTTCAGCAAAGCCTCTGCTCCTCCCTGCCTCCCAGACTTGTGACCTTGCCCTTGCCTAGGTTTCTCTATAATTTACATCATCTAGCTCTTCCCGGGCACTCCCCTTCCTGCCGTTACCACTGACCCTCTCCACCCTGTGGGACTTGGTCCACATTTGGAGGGGTGTCTGGGTAACTGATAAGAACAGCTGTGCTAATTTAAAAGGCCACCAGCGGGATGGTTAGTTGTGCAGAAGAGGCAAGGAAAGATGCAACCAGAGGACATCACTGTCAGACACGTGTCGGGGGATTCATGGGAGCCCTAGAAATCCACATGTGATACCTGTGGCCTCAAACATTTTCTGTTCCTCAGGACATTGCTGGTGCCTGGCAGAGGTTGGAGCAGGCCGAGAAGGGCTACGAGGAGTGGCTATTGAATGAGATTCGGAGACTGGAGCGCTTGGAGCACCTGGCTGAGAAGTTCAGGCAGAAGGCCTCCACGCACGAGACGTGGGCATATGGTAAGCGCTGAGTGTGGGCCGGGGAGATGGCTCAGTGGGTAGAGATGCTTGCTGCCAAGTCTGACACCCTGAGTTAGAACCAATTCCTGCAAATTGTCCTCCGTCCTTCATAGACACACTGTGGCATGTGTATGCACACCCCACACACAACAAACACACACATACAACATACATATAAATAAATAAATGTAAAAAATGTAATCCAAGTTCTGCTGGACTTGGTGGTGTGTATTCCTCTAATTCCAGCACTCAGGAAGCTAAATCAGGAGGATGCTCAAGAGTTCCAGCTCAGCCTGGACTATACATTGAGTTCAAAGCTAGACAGGTCTCTAGGAAAAGATCTTGTTTCACAGCAACAGCCAGGGGTTTGGAGAGATGGTTCAGCAGTTACAGCTGTGCTCTTTCCCGGCAGCACCCAAAGCAGGGAGCTCATAACCCTTGTCGCTCCAGCTGTAGGGCATCTGGTGACCTTTCCTGGCATCCACAAGCACCTGCACGTACATGCACACACCCACACAGAGACACATACATACTTGAACACATAATTAAAAATAAAAATAAGTTGGGTGGTGGTGGCGCACGCCTTTAGTCCCGGCACTCAGGAGGCAGAGGCAGGCAGATCTCTGTGACTTCAAGGCCCGCCTGGTCTACAGAGCGAGTTTCAGGGCAGCCAGGGCTACACAGAGAAACTCTGTCTTGAAAAACCAATAAGTAAATAAAAATAAAAATAAATCTTAGAAACAAACAACAAAGAATGGACATACTGTAGCTGTTTCCCTGCTAAGGCTTCTGTGAAGCATCAGTGAGTTCATATGATAAATATTTCAGTCGGTGTCTGACACATCCTAGCTGAAATGTTGTCATTGTTGACGTGCACATTTGCTTTCCATTTCCTGCTTTACAGAATTAAATTGTCACTAGTCAGAGAGTAAATGTAGATCTGGGTACCTGGTCGTAGCAGTACTAGATTTAAGAAATACTTACAGAGAGGGCTGGAAATGTGGCTCAGTTGGTGGGATGCTGGCTTAGCATGCACTAACAAAGCCCTGGATTCAATCCCCAGTGGTGCATAAATTGGGCATAGTGGTACATGCCTATAATTCCAGCACCAAGGATGTAGAAGCAAAAAGATCAGAAGTTCAAGGTCATCCTTGGCTAAATACTGAGATCAAGGCCAACCTGCACTAGGGACTCCTTGTCCAAACAAAAAAATTAATAAAGAAAATCTTATGGAGGAATTAGTGGAGGTTCCAAGAAGGAAATCTCTAGTGTTTAGAGTCAGAACAAACAAAACAGGGCCACATTTCACCCCAGAGTGTAGCTTTCAAATATAAAACCTGGGGCAAGAAAAACCGGCTGACGGGCCGTTTTTTGAGACCAGGTCCTGCTGTGTCACTCATACTCAACATGAATTCACAATGCTCTTGTCTCAGGCTCCTGGGTGCTGGGATTACAGGTGTGCACCACCATGCCCAGCTAACTGAATAAGGGTTTTACTCAGTCGTCCCCTGTGGCTCATGGAATAATTTCCAACTGAACTGTGTGTTGTGGTAGGAAAGAAGACATTTGTGACTTAGAATGATGCAGAATATACTTTGTAAAATGCATGCTTCTCCCACCCCACCACCTTTCTTGCTGGGCACCTCCCCTGTGAGCACCTACGGGGCTAGCTGTTGCTTGCAGGCTGGTCCTTATCCTTACTTGAAATCTCAGTATTCTCTGATCACATCCTGGTGTGGGGAAGCTGCTGTGTGACTTTGACTTTTCATGCTTATTTAATTGATTAATATATTTAGGCAATACTGGGACTTGAACTTATGGCCTTTGCATATCCTAGGCAAGCACTCTACCACTGAGCTGCAGTCTTCTGTTTCTTTTTTATTTTGAGACAAAGTCTGACAGAGTTGCCCAGGCTGGCCTTGAACTTATGATCCTGCTGCCTCAGCCTCCAGATTAGTTGGTGTAACAGACCTGGCCTCATGCTTCTTGCTGTCCCCTTTGCAGGCAAAGAACAGATCTTGTTGCAGAAGGATTATGAGTCAGCATCCCTGACGGAAGTGCGGGCCCTACTTCGGAAGCATGAGGCCTTTGAGAGTGACCTGGCTGCACACCAGGACCGTGTGGAACAGATCGCTGCCATTGCACAGGAGCTCAAGTGTGTGCTGGTACCCAGAGTGAAGGCCGTAGTGGGCTATGGGCACTATACAGGGTCTCCAGGGAGCAGGCACTCTTCCCTGCTGAGTTCTAAGGGTCAGGCTGGAGCCCCCAGGGATGGTGACTTTGGTATCTAGAAATGTAAAAACAGGTTCATCCTTGCTGTGTGCCAGAGTCCTTGGGTCCTCCCATCCCTCACACTTGACCCTCATATAAACTATTCTGCTTCCAAGGAAATGAGATGTCAGTGTGGAGGCCTAGCCGCCTGGCTCACACTGGGGCAGGCGGTAGGACCCATGGCTCATGCAGAAAGAAAGGCCAAAGAGAAGTCACTACCTCAGCCCTGACGAAGCGATCTGCCTCACTTTTCTAAGTTTTGTTCTGTGGGAACAGATGTCGTGGTGCTTTTAGTAATCATTGTGCAGATGTTTTCTGCCTCTACTTTATGCCTGTGATTCCTGGGATGTGTACAGTGTGTGTGGAGGGCAGAAGAGAGTGTCAGATCCCCTGAAGCTGGAGTTCCAGATGGTTATAAAACTCTGGGTTCTGGGAAATGAACCCAGGTCCTCTGCAAGAGTAACTAATACTCTTAACTGCTGAGCCATCTCTCTGGCTCCACATCTGCAGAATTTTTATTGCCTATCACTTAATAATAAAAACAAAGTAATTAAAATGTACTTCAGTACGTTGCTCCCTGGTTCCTCACTTTTGAGGAGCATGAACCCCTTAATTAACAAGTAGGGCTTCATAACACACCATATCTCAGATTGGCCCATATAAATCCTTCATCTTTTCAGCCTCACATTATAGCTGGACCTTCTATCATGGTTTTATGCTGCTTGAATGTTGGCTCTTTGCTAATTAACAGCCACTCACTAATAAAATGAGGTCTTGAAAAGGACTCAAATTATTTAGTGTACTGTAATGGCTCCCGTGAGTAATTGGAGCAGTCTTAAGTGTTGCCCATAAACTTTAAGCAATAATTTTTATATTATTATGACTGTTCTTCCTGGCATCTTTGGTGCTGTTTGCTCCACAGAGCTGAGGTGAAACCAGGCATGAGATTTAGGTTGTGTTCATCTGACTGTCAATAACATTCTTTTCCTTCCTGTCCATCCTAAAAATAAATCAGAGATTTTATGCAGTTCTCAAAAGGACATAAAAATAGTCATTAAGAGCCCCAACTCCCCAAATGTAGGTGTCCATGGAGCCATTGTGTAAGAGTCAGGGAAAACGGGGAGACTCTAGAAATAATCTCAGAGGGACGGCGTTGATGCTTCCATTGTGGTTTAGCAGGAAGTTCCTGCAGTGTTCACTCTTGCTTCTTGAGACGGGGTCTCTCTGTGTAGTCCTGGATGTTCTGGAGCTCTCTGTGTAGACCAGGCTGGCCTCAAACTCAGAGATCCCCCTGCCTCTACATCCCGAGTGCTGAGATACTTTTTCTTAATAATAATTTTTAAAAATAATGGTCTGTGAATGGGAAGATGCACACATGTATACCATCGTGTGTGTGTGTGTGTGTGTGTGTGTGTGTGTGTGTGTGTGTGTGTGTGTGTGTGCAGATCAGAGGGGAACTCCCAGGGGTTGGTCTTTGCCACCCACCTTACTGAGGCAGGGGGCTTTCTTGTTTCTGCTGCTGTACTGTGTACTGTAGGCCTCTAGTTTTTCTCCTGTCTCCCTCCCATCATGCCATATGAGTTCTGGGATTACAGGCATGTACCATTTAGCTTTTTATGTGGGTTCTGGGGACTGAACTTGGGTTGTCAGACTTACATAGCTAGCATTTTTACCTGGGGAGCTATATCCCCAGACTCCTTAGTTACTTTTTCGTGTATGTTGTCAAAATGCCTGACAGAAACAACTTGAAGGGGGAAAAAGTTTATTTTTGCTCACAGTTTCATAAGGATTTCAGTCAGTCAGGACAAAAAAGACCAGGAAACTAGGAGATCTAGTGGATTTCTTTTCTTTTTCTTTTCTGCCTCTGCCTCCAGAGGATGGGATTGAAGGCATGTGCCACCATGACCTAGCGTATCTTAGATTTCTATTGCTATGATGAAACATCAGGACCAAAAGCAACTTGGGCCGGGCGGTGGTGGCGCACGCCTTTAATCCCAGCACTTGGGAGGCAGAGCCAGGCGGATCTCTGTGAGTTCGAGGCCAGCCTGGACTACCAAGTGAGTTCCAGGAAAGGCGCAAAGATACACAGAGAAACCCTGTCTCGAAAAACCAAAAAAAAAAAAAAAGCAACTTGGGAAGAAAACGATTTATTTCAGCTTACATGTCCTGATCACATGTGCTGAAATCATAGGCCATCATGAAGCGAAGTCAGGGCAGAAACTTAAGCAGGAGAGGAACCTGGAGACAGAAACTGATGCAGAGGCCGTAGGGGAATGCTGCTACTGTCCTGCTCCTCCTGACTTGCTCAGTTTGTTTTCTTTCTTTCTTTTTAAATTGTTTCTTTTTATTAGATTTATCTTTTATTTTATGTTTGAGTGTTTTATCTGTGTGTATGAATGTGTACTACTTGTGTGCTTAGTGACCATGAAGATTAGATGAGGGCATTGGACCCCTGGAATATGGAGTTAGGAATGGTTGTAAAACTACCGTATGGGTGCTAGGATTCGAACCCATGTTCTTTGAAAGAGCAACAAGTGTTCTTAACCACTGAGCCACCTCTCTGGCCCCTCAATTTTTTTTAATGTATCCCGGAACGACCACCCATAATGGGCCTGGCCCTCCCACATCAATTATTGATCTAGAAAATGCTCTACAAGCTTGCCTGCAGGACAGTCTTATGGAGCCATTTATTCAATTGAGGTCCCCCCTCCCCGCCCCCTCTCAGATTACTGTAGCTTTCATCAAGTTGACATGAAACTAGCCAGCACATCTAGAGTGGAACCAGAGATGAGTATGACCTTCTAAGGCCCACTCTTGGTGACTCACTAATGCCACCAGACTCCACCTTCTTCAAATTCATGCAACTGGCCAGGGACTAGGCATTCAAAACATGAAACCATAAAGGAAATTTCAGATTGAATTATTCAGAAACTTCTGAGAAAGACTTGTCTCTTTAATGTTTACTCTTGAACGAACTACTGCCTTTCTATTTCATATCAGCGTTGTATAGCTGCTCGGAGACATTTACTAGGTTTGTCTTTTGATTTATAAGTCAAAGTAGACACAAGAATCTTAGTCAGCCTTGGTGTATTTGTAGCTAGCTGGTGCTTGCTCTTAAGAACTGGACAAGCTTTAATGAGGTGACAGGGAGCTTCTGTTCCTACCAGAATGTTCTGGAAGAACACTCAGATAACAACCGTATGCATTTCCTCTGTGCAGCAACACAAACAGCAGAGTCAATAAACATGAGCTAGTATATGAAAAAAGAAAAGGCAGTGTGTGTGTGAGACAGAGGGTAAAAGTGCTTGTGGCCAGTCCTGATGACCTGAGTTCAAGGCCAGGACCCACGTGGTACAAAGAGAGAGCTGACACTTGCAGGCTGACCTCTGACCTCCATGCACTTGTGTCGTGTGTGTGTGTGTGTGTGTGTGTGTGTGTGTGTGTGTGCGCGCACGCGCGCGCACATACACATTTATTTATAAATAAATAAATATGCAATAAAAATTGTTTAGAGTAGTGGACAACTACTGCCTTAACTCAAAGTTGAATAAGCAGAGAAACAAACTGGAGCCTCAAGGGCATGGTTTATGGGGAGCGGGGCACTTCTCGGGCTGTTTTTAAAGAAGCCGCCTGAAAATGCCTTCTGGTCTTTACATGCTCGCTCTCTTCTTAGCCTAGGAGGGTGTTTGGGTTTTATGCAGGACTCAGACGTTTATCCCTGAGATGAGGGTAACTTTCACCCAAGCAAGCTTTTCCTTTTGTTCTGTTCTTTCTACCACACTGGAGGCATCCAACAGTCCAAAGAGTGGTTGTCCCTAAATGGAAGAGCTCCATACTGCCCAGTTTTAGAAGTCTCTCTGTACTCAGTCATGTCCCCACACCCTCCTGGACTGGTCACTCAGTAGGCAGCAAGCTGCGTGCCCTTCTAGAGGAGCCAAGGACACAGAACCCTGCAAGCGGACACCTCCTTCCCTGTGACTCATTTCTATGTTCCAGTCACCATGGCTGCAGCTTGCTCTCTGGACTGACCTGGGTCAGATAGTTGGCTTTCCTTGTAGTTTCCATTTAAAAGTCATGCTCTCAGGAGGCCTCAGAGAGGACACAGGGAAAGAAAGCCAGCCAGAGGCATTGAGAAGACAGTGGTGCCTGTTTTAAGAACTGTTGACTAGCATGATTTTTAGTAATTATTCCAAGTGATAATACTTCCAACAGGGACAGTTCACAAAACCCTGAAATTCCCTACCAGATTTCCATACCTTTGTTTTTTTTTTTTTTTTTTTTTTTTTGGTTTTTCGAGACAGGGTTTTTCTGTGTAGCTTTGCGCGCCTTTCCTGGAACTCGCTTTGGAGACCAGGCTGGCCTCGAACTCACAAAGATCCGCCTGCCTCTGCCTCCCGAGTGCTGGGATTAAAGGCGTGTGCCACCACCGCCCGGCTGGCTCATACCTTTGTATTTTGCATATGTGTATGTGTGAGGTGGGGACCAGGGGTCCCTGAGAGATGTGGAGAGGTCAGTCTCAGATGTTTTCACCAGTCACTATCCACATTTTTTAAAGACAATTTCTGAACAGCCAGAGGGCTTGTGTGATTCAGCTGTGTCAGCTGCCTAGTGAGCCCCAGGGATCCCCTTCTCTGTGTTAAGTGGTAATCACAGCAGCACATTTGTGGAGGTCAGGGGACAACATAGGCATGAAACTCAGGCTGTCAAACTTGGTGGCAGGTGCCTTTAGCGGCCGAGCCATCTCACCAGCCTCCCCACCGGCTTTCTATTCGGTCTTTTTAAAAGGTGTGGGGGTCGGGGGAAGACTGTGAGGTGACCTGCTGTGTACACATGAGGACCTGGGGTCGGGGGAAGACAGTGGGAGATGGCGATCAGTGGAGTGCCTGCTGTGTACGCATGAGGACCTGGGGTCGGGAGATGGCGATCAGTGGAGTGCCTGCTGTGTACACATGAGGACCTGGGGTCGGGAGATGGCGATCAGTGGAGTGCCTGCTGTGTACGCATGAGGACCTGGGGTCGGGAGATGGCGATCAGTGGAGTGCCTGCTGTATACGCATGAGGACCTGGGGTCGGGAGATGGCGATCAGTGGAGTGCCTGCTGTGTACGCATGAGGACCTGGGGTCGGGAGATGGCGATCAGTGGAGTGCCTGCTGTATACGCATGAGGACCTGGGGTCGGGAGATGGCGATCAGTGGAGTGCCTGCTGTGTACACATGAGGACCTGGGGTCGGGAGATGGCGATCAGTGGAGTGCCTGCTGTATACGCATGAGGACCTGGGGTCGGGAGATGGCGATCAGTGGAGTGCCTGCTGTGTACGCATGAGGACCTGGGGTCGGGAGATGGCGATCAGTGGAGTGCCTGCTGTATACGCATGAGGACCTGGGGTCGGGAGATGGCGATCAGTGGAGTGCCTGCTGTGTACGCATGAGGACCTGGGGTCGGGAGATGGCGATCAGTGGAGTGCCTGCTGTATACGCATGAGGACCTGGGGTCGGGAGATGGCGATCAGTGGAGTGCCTGCTGTGTACACATGAGGACCTGGGGTCGGGAGATGGCGATCAGTGGAGTGCCTGCTGTATACGCATGAGGACCTGGGGTCGGGAGATGGCGATCAGTGGAGTGCCTGCTGTGTACGCATGAGGACCTGGAGTCGGGAGATGGCGATCAGTGGAGTGCCTGCTGTGTACGCATGAGGACCTGAGTTTGATCACACTGAACCCATTTCAAAATCCTGGCACAGGGGCTGGAGAGATGACTCTGTGGCTGAGTGCTCCATGACCTGCTCTTCTGGCCTCCACAGGCATACACACACACACACACACACACACACACACACACACCTCTTCCCTGTTTATCTCCCTCACACCATTAATCTTTCTTTCTTGCTTTTCCTAGTGAACTGGACTATCATGATGCTGTGAATGTCAATGATCGTTGCCAGAAGATTTGTGACCAGTGGGACAGATTGGGGACACTCACCCAGAAGAGGAGGGAGGCCTTGGAGGTGAAAAGCTTGACCTATTGACTTGAGAATTCCTACCTGAGGCTCCATAATGAAACCAATGGTGTTAATTGTTTCTCCGTGGCCTTGTGTCCTCGTGCAGAGAAAACCAAACATTCTCCAGTAAATGGAGTCTTAAGAAGAATGTGGAAAGTAGGAGTCAGGACCGAGGGAGGCTGGTGGCTTAGTGCTGGAATGTATCAAGTCAGCAGCAAAACATATTCTTCAATTTTAAAATGTTTGAGTGGATTATGGTTGAGGCCCTGTTTGTTAAGTAGCAAGCACTACAGATTTCCCAAAGTTCTTTTGAAAAATTTTAAAGACTTATACATTATTTTTAATTTATGTGCATGAGCATTTTGCCTACATGTATGCCTGTGTACCACTTGTGTGCCTGGCACCTTTGGAGACCAGAAGGGGGCATCGTATCTCCTGGACTTGGGGTTACAGATGGTTATGAGCCATCATGTGGGTGCTGGGAATTAAACTCAGGTCCTCTGGAAGAGCAGTATAAGCTCTTAACCACTGAGCCATCTCTCTAACTCCACCAAAGTTCTGCTGTGCCAACAACTGACTCAGGATATCAGACCATCTTGAGATATGTACCTGGAAAATGGCAACAGATATGGAAGGGAAAAAATGCTAGAAAATAAGTCAGGGAATATAGCTCAGTTGGTAAAGTGCTTGTCTCATACACACCAAGGCCTGGGATCACTTCCTCTCATCCTATAAAACTATATTGTGGTTAACAGTGACTAATCAAAACTCAGGAGGTAGATGTAGAAGCATCAGAAGTCCAAGGTTATCCTTAGCTGGATAGAAAGTTCAAGGCAAAGCTGGGCAGTGGCACATGCCTTCAATTCCAGCACTCAGGAGGCAGAGACAGGCAGATCTCTGTGAGTTCAAGGCCAGCCTAGTCTCCATAGTGAGCTCCAGGATAGCCAGAGCTACCAAAAGAGACCCTGTCTCAAAACAAAACAAACAAACAATAACACTCACTTCTACTTAATCTTCAGAGAACTGAGAAATTGCTAGAAACAATTGACCAGTTGCACCTGGAGTTTGCCAAGAGAGCTGCACCGTTCAACAACTGGATGGAGGGCGCCATGGAGGACCTGCAGGACATGTTTATTGTCCACAGCATTGAGGAGATCCAGGTGAGGGGACTCGAACCCAGTATTCTTTCAATTAGTGTATATTTGTTGTATGAAGTGATGTGTTTGTTCAAGTATTTCCTGTACCAAGTCTTTATTCTGCATTACTCTCTCCTAACCCCACTTCTGCCTGTCTCCTTCCTTTTCTCAAATAGTCTCTCTTCTGTTTTCATGTCACATGTATGCATGTGTGTATGTGCCTCAATATGTGTATAACACCTAGGTTCTGGGTTGGTAAGATGGCTTAGTTGGCAAAGGCACTTGGCCTCAGTCCTGACAGTCTGAGTACAATCAGCAGAATCCACATGGTGGAAGGAGAGAACTGACTCCCACAAGTGTCCTCTGACTTCCACACACATTCTGTGTCATGCATGAACCCGAACTCACACCACACACACACACACACACACACACACACACACACACACACACACACACACACACACAGAGAGAGAGACAGAGACAGAGACAGAGAAACAGAGAGAGACAGAGAATCTGTAAAAAGGGAAAATAAAAGCCGAGCAATGGTGGTGCACACCTTTAATCCCACCACTCAAGAGGCAGAAGCAGGTGAATCTCTGAGTTCAGGCCAGCCTGATCTACAGAGTGAGTTCCAGGACAGCCAGGGCTACACAGAGAAACCCTGTCTCAATAAGGTAAAATAAACAAAACAAAAAGGGAAATAATAAGGGTCCAGATTGAGGAAGACACCTGATGTTGACCTCTGGTTCCCACAGTGTGCACACAAACATTCATGTAATGACATATGCACACATACAAAAGAACCTCCCAAACAGCACCCCTGCTTCCTGCCAACCTAAAGTGTCTTACTCTTATATTTCTCCAGAGCATTCAATTAAGTCTATAAATAAGACCTGCTGGCTTTGATGTTAAGAAGAACAGCTACTGTCAAGTACCCAGGACCCAGTTTATTCATAATCCATTTATGGTGAATTCGAGATATAATAGAATATAAAGAAAACACACATTTGTAATTCTCTTTCCAGTAAAATTGATATGTCATGAGGGCTGGCTTTAGTCAGTAAAGTATTGCTTTGTGGGTATAAGTTCGTGAGTTCATTCCCTAGAATCTACATTAAAAAAATTTAACAAATTGGGCATGATATTACTCGCTTGTAATCCCAGTGCTGGGGAAGTGGAGATAGGCTGGGACTAGGTGATCAGCCAGACTAGTCTAATCAGAGAGCCTCCAGGCCAGTGAGGCCTCCGGTCTCTACATACATACAAACACACATACCAAGTTCACACTAAAAGTCTGGGTGTGGTGGTACATGCCTGTAATCCCAGAAGCTGGGAGTAGAGAAGGAGAATCAGGAGTTCAGGGTCATACGTGACGACATAGCAAGTCAAAGCCAGTCTGGCTACATGAAACCTTGCCTAAAAATAAATAAGTGTACAGTTGACGCTCCTGTCAGATTGGTTCTCTGCCCTGTTCCCTGGCCTAGAGTCTGATCACCGCACACGAGCAGTTCAAGGCCACGCTGCCTGAGGCTGATGGGGAGCGGCAGTCCATCCTGGCCATCCAGAATGAGGTGGAGAAGGTGATCCAGAGCTACAGCATCCGGGTTAGCTCCAGCAACCCCTACAGCGCCGTCACCATGGATGAGCTGCGAAACAAGTGGGGCAAGGTGGGCAGCTGTGGGCTGGGCGTGGGTTGAGGGAAGGACAAGGTGGGCAGCTGTGGGCTGGGCGTGGGTTGAGGGAAGGACAAGGTAGGCAGCTGTGGGCTGGGCGTGGGTTGAGGGGAGGACAAGGTGGGCAGCTGTGGCCTGGGCGTGGGTTGAGGGAAGGACAAGGTGGGCAGCTGTGGGCTGGGCGTGGGTTGAGGGAAGGGCAAGGTGGGCAGCTGTGGCCCGGGCGTGGGTTGAGGGAAGGACAAGGTGGGCAGCTGTGGGCTGGGCGTGGGTTGAGGGAAGGACAAGGTGGGCAGCTGTGGGCTGGGCGTGGGTTGAGGGAAGGACAAGGTGGGCAGCTGTGGGCTGGGCGTGGGTTGAGGGGAGGACAAGGTGGGCAGCTGTGGCCTGGGCGTGGGTTGAGGGGAGGACAAGGTGGGCAGCTGTGGCCTGGGCGTGGGTTGAGGGAAGGACAAGGTGGGCAGCTGTGGGCTGGGCGTGGGTTGAGGGGAGGACAAGGTGGGCAGCTGTGGGCTGGGCGTGGGTTGAGGGGAGGACAAGGTGGGCAGCTGTGGGCTGGGCGTGGGTTGAGGGAAGGACAAGGTGGGCAGCTGTGGGCTGGGCGTGGGTTGAGGGAAGGACAAGGTGGGCAGCTGTGGCCTGGGCGTGGGTTGAGGGGAGGACAAGGTGGGCAGCTGTGGCCTGGGCGTGGGTTGAGGGAAGGACAAGGTGGGCAGCTGTGGGCTGGGCGTGGGTTGAGGGGAGGACAAGGTGGGCAGCTGTGGGCTGGGCGTGGGTTGAGGGGAGGACAAGGTGGGCAGCTGTGGGCTGGGCGTGGGTTGAGGGAAGGACAAGGTGGGCAGCTGTGGGCTGGGCGTGGGTTGAGGGGAGGACAAGGTGGGCAGCTGTGGCCTGGGCGTGGGTTGAGGGAAGGACAAGGTGGGCAGCTGTGGGCTGGGCGTGGGTTGAGGGGAGGACAAGGTGGGCAGCTGTGGGCCGGGCGTGGGTTGAGGGGAGGACAAGGTGGGCAGCTGTGGCCTGGGCGTGGGTTGAGGGGAGGACAAGGTGGGCAGCTGTGGCCTGGGCGTGGGTTGAGGGAAGGACAAGGTGGGCAGCTGTGGGCTGGGCGTGGGTTGAGGGAAGGACAAGGTGGGCAGCTGTGGGCTGGGCGTGGGTTGAGGGGAGGACAAGGTGGGCAGCTGTGGCCTGGGCGTGGGTTGAGGGAAGGACAAGGTGGGCAGCTGTGGCCTGGGCGTGGGTTGAGGGGAGGACAAGGTGGGCAGCTGTGGCCTGGGCGTGGGTTGAGGGAAGGACAAGGTGGGCAGCTGTGGCCCGGGCGTGGGTTGAGGGAAGGACAAGGTGGGCAGCTGTGGGCTGGGCGTGGGTTGAGGGAAGGACAAGGTGGGCAGCTGTGGGCTGGGCGTGGGTTGAGGGAAGGACAAGGTGGGCAGCTGTGGGCTGGGCGTGGGTTGAGGGGAGGACAAGGTGGGCAGCTGTGGCCTGGGCGTGGGTTGAGGGGAGGACAAGGTGGGCAGCTGTGGGCTGGGCGTGGGTTGAGGGAAGGACAAGGTGGGCAGCTGTGGGCTGGGCGTGGGTTGAGGGAAGGACAAGGTGGGCAGCTGTGGGCTGGGCGTGGGTTGAGGGGAGGACAAGGTGGGCAGCTGTGGGCTGGGCGTGGGTTGAGGGGAGGACAAGGTGGGCAGCTGTGGCCTGGGCGTGGGTTGAGGGGAGGACAAGGTGGGCAGCTGTGGGCTGGGCGTGGGTTGAGGGAAGGACAAGGTGGGCAGCTGTGGGCTGGGCGTGGGTTGAGGGAAGGACAAGGTGGGCAGCTGTGGCCTGGGCGTGGGTTGAGGGGAGGACAAGGTGGGCAGCTGTGGGCTGGGCGTGGGTTGAGGGAAGGACAAGGTGGGCAGCTGTGGGCTGGGCGTGGGTTGAGGGAAGGACAAGGTGGGCAGCTGTGGGCTGGGCGTGGGTTGAGGGAAGGACAAGGTGGGCAGCTGTGGGCTGGGCGTGGGTTGAGGGGAGGACAAGGTGGGCAGCTGTGGGCTGGGCGTGGGTTGAGGGGAGGACAAGGTGGGCAGCTGTGGGCTGGG